CAGAATGGAACAGAATCTAGCAAAGATGTTTCATCACTTTACAATTTGAACAGGTGAAATCCTTCTAAACAAAGGCTTATTTTCCCATTGAAACAGTTGTGCAAGTATTTTTCATCTTCCTTGTAATATCTCTTTGCAGTTCCATCTTACTCAAGCATGATCCCTGATGGATCTTAATTGTTTGCGACCTTGAAGTTAGTTAAATGCTTTTTTCATATATGTAGTATGAGTCATAATTCTTAAGGCCACAGATGCAAGTAAATCAGCACAAAACACCTAATTAAATTGATAACTATGAGCAATTATCATGTGCTGTTTAAAATATTCATCTATAAATAGCTCTTTGAAGTTAAGAGAAAAGGGCATATTGTCTTTCATTCTTTATCTATTTTAAGATCACATAAGCTCTAACAAACAAGCAACAGTGAAATCTTACACAAACCGCCAAACATACAGTACATACTGTACACTTGTGAGTACTTCTTCAATAACCTTTCTTAATAAAGGCTGCTTCACCTGTCCGCAGTCAGGTATCAGTAATCCAGGTAACAGCAAGCAAATGGTGCAGCACAGGTCTCAAACTGGTGATGTTTTGTTAAAATTAAGAGTGTTTTTGGAGAAGCATAATTTTTTTTCTGTCTGTCTGTACATCCACATTGTATCTGTCAAACAACTTGCCCCACCCGGGGATAATAAAGACTCTCTCTCTCTCATCTTTTAGGACCTCAAATCTGAGACACTTCTGAAAAACACAGGCTCAGAAATCATCTAGAAATTCCCCCCACTCTGGATCTGAAACAGAAACTTTGGTGCAGAATGAGAGCAGGAAAGAAGACTCCCAGTCATACCTCTAAGATGATAACCTCTAAACACACATTGGAGGGCAGCGCCATCTCTGGCTGGAAATGCTTCACGATGGCAACCAAGAGATGCAGGGTGGATAGTAAATCTCTGTTGTGGATGACTGACGGCAAGAAAGCAAAAAAAAAACAATAACATTTATTATTTCTTACTAAGACTACCTAAACACGTCCCCCTTCTCTGAGCAAAGTCTTTCCAAAAACATTCACTGACTGAAGAGACGGGGAATTGTCTGTATGTTTCAGGCAGAACGGAATGCAAATTTAAAATACTGACAGAAATGTAGTTACCATTATAGTGCACAAGAACTGCTATAACCCTCACATTTAATTAGCACAAGAGCAACGCATGTTTCTGTGTTCGAAATATTACCTGGTACTTTACTTTATAGTAGGAACTCATCCATAGTGTGTTATTCGTAACTAGGCTTGCCCATACTCAATGCATATATTTTGCTGTTAGTACTTTTCAAGTCAACTTTGATTCCTGTTAATTGCTTTCCAATTAAAAGTTATAATAACTGTTCACAAATTATTTATTGTAGCCTTTCTATATACTCTTTTATATTAGTAAAATAATAAAAAATAACTTTCCTTTTCTGTTTTCAAGAAAGAAACCAATCTCTTTTCTAAACATATGTAATCTTCAAGAATTAGCATCAATACCTTGTGATTGCATTCTTAGTTTTAATAGGTGAAAAACTGTAAATTGTCAAGCACACAGATGTTTGGGCACTAAACAGACTTACAGAGGAAATTTAAATCCCCTTCATCTAAAAGTGTGGTGTTTTATGATAAGATAGTGGACACAGCAAAATAATAAATGTTGAAAAGTAATGGGTCTGGCAAAACGTTTTAGAATAATGTGGCTTTGCTATTTAAAATGTGCAACTACAGAGACACACACAGACAAGTGATAAGGAAGTAGAAACAGGAAGTGTTTCAACCCTCATGAGCTATCTTTTTCCTTTCACGAGTCTAATTTTAACATCAGTCTCTACTCTACCATTCTTACTTCACATTTCTTGTGTAGGCAGCTCTCTGTGCTTTTCTTAATAAGCATGATACATCGGGTATTACTGAAGTGATGCTAATATGTATTGCCTCTTTTTCTTAAAAAATGCCTTTTTTTAGACAGTTTACAAACACTGAATATTGCCATTAGTATGATCTACTGATAAAATGACCATTCACTGCTAGCAAATAAACCTGGTGATCCAAAGAAGAGACCAAAGAGTTCTTAAGTGCCAATTCACAACACAAGGCATGGATAAATGGTCGAGCCAAGTAACAAACCTGCAAAGTCAGGACATTCAGGTAACCTGGAAGCTGAATGTCCTGCCTTTACAAAACCCAGCAAATCAAGAGCACAGAAAAGAAACAAGAAGACAAAGTGTTTAAACATTTATATATAGATACATATAATGTCTGGCTACTGACTAAGAAAACACAAAAGTTAAATGTATGTATGTGTATTGTTACATTCTTATGTCAAAAGCCTATTTAAAGTGAAATACTGTATATACAGTATAGTAATGTGGTTTAGGTTTCCAAGTGCTCAGGAGGCCTATACTGGTTATATCCCTCCTTTATATAATTAATTTTGCCAGTCAGCCATGATTTCACTGTTTCTGGTGAAAGGAGGCTGTGGGGAATTACTGAATGCTACCGTTGTACTTACAACAGTCTTTTCGTTCAATTGCTCTGTGAAAAATGTTTGACTATGAGAAGTTAATGGGACTGTCTAGGAAGGGATTATTTTCACCACAAGTAACACAGGCTGTTATTTTCAACAGCATCACTGACCTCTCCTCAGTTATGGTTGTGAATGAAGAAGCTTTATTGTAGTCCAAGCCATGATCCCAGCCTGCGACACTGATGCTGTAGCATCTAGGGTATCAGTACTATAGTACCTATAGTGTAGATACTGATACTATGAACTTTTAAAATAAACTTGTTTATAGTCATCATTCCAGTTTATTTCAGGTGTACGCTGATCGCAGTTAATGGGCTCCAAGATGGAGTGATGAATGAGGACAGAACAGTTCCCCGCAGCAGATTTTTGTGACAAAGCCGTGAGGAAGGGCGCAGTACCCCCAGCCCCCGCTGTGATAACTCACGGTTAACGCTCCACTTCTGCGAGTCCTCCTTTGACAGACCCAGCACCCTATTTATGGCCTCCAGTATGACCCCCAGCTTTCGTTTCTGCGCCATCGCAGTCAGAGCGATCTCTTCCACGTCCAGCTTCATCCCCGCTAGCCTGACTGACAGGGACAACAGGGAATCCAGAGCAAATGAAAGGGAGGGACTGGAGAGATGAGACGTGAGATATCCCACATGCTTTAACAAAAGACAACAAACCTAAAAAAATCAATGAAATGTTTACCCCATTAAAGATGTTTTCAGATACAGTATCTATGGGCTGTATACAGTACTGTATGTCAATCCATCTGCCCATATTTACTGTACAACCAGTATATGAAATAGTGGGGTGCATTTTAAGAACCAGAATAAGCTCTACCCAAAGTGCTGCCATGGCTCTGGTATGGACTATACATTTACCTACCTGTACTGTATTTACTACATATACAGTATGCATGAAAGCCAGCCCTGGTTTTCAGTTATGCAACACAAGAGAAAACAAACCCACTTTTCTGTCTGCTACTGACTTTTTATATCATCGCCATGTTTACCCAGCTCATTGACTATACCCAGGTTCTGCCTGACCATGTGCATCAAACCCCCCCACATGCTAGGCTGAAAAGAAGTCCTACCCAGGAGGTGGTGCAGCACCAGACCATCGAACAGGTCCTCCTCCAGGCTCTGCACCACGATGTGCTCCGGCTTCAGAGTGGTGTTGATCCAGTCAGTCAGACGCTGTAAATTAAAATGAATAAAACACGGCAACAAGTGTGACTTTAGGAGCTTTTGTGTAAGAGATCAGAGAAGTTAACATGGAGTGTGTGGTTGGAATTATGGAACAAATGAGAAAAGAACTAACAGAAATTTACTTAATTTACTTCTCTCTTGTATTTTATGTATACAACAAGTATTAACTTACAGGAGAAAAACGTCTAGTTTTACCTGTATATAACAGACCTTAGGCCATTTCCTGTTCTATCTTCAGCTCCTGTACTGTAAATGGGTTTATGTTTCAGGGAAAATTAATTTCTAGTAAATATGGCCAGAGTTCAGGAGAGGTGAGTGAGATTTTTACCGTTTTTAAATCTTCAAGTTTTGGATCCTTCAGAGAGCCAGGCTGAATTATTTTTCTTCTTTCACCTATAGAAAGAAAGCATGCTTTGTTTCTGAAACCCCTACTGTATATTGAAGTTTTATCCTTGAATTGAAACAATGTTTTACAAGATTAATGCTATTTACTGTACCAATTATTTTAAAACCGAATGTTCAATAGGGAGCGACCTAATTCAGATTTTAAATTATGATGTCCTGAAATGTTTTGCAGGAAATTAGTGTACTTTACTGACCAAGAAATCCTTCCATATCTTCAACAGGTTTGCTCTGTTGAGAATCTTGCCCAAAGGCATTGTTGATGTCCACATCCATGTTTCAGTCTGGAAGAGTGACAAACACAAAAGTTTAAAATGATACATAGGGTTCTTACAAAACTAGTTGGCTTTTTCAAAACTATGTTGTGAAAACTGTGCACTGTGAAGCAGTGGAATTTGGTATGCACACAAATACTGTACATATACTGTACGAACGCAGAGAATATAACCCTATGTACCACAACATTGTACACCAGAGGGCACTGACATTACCAGTGTGCAGCAGTAACTGAGCAGTTCTTTCCTGGAGTAAATTAAATCATCACATGTCTGCATTCACCAGCATGGTCTGTAATCTTAATGTATAAGGAAATACAGTGTGTTTCCAGTGGTCTCATTTGTAAATGCACCAAATATTCTCCCATCGTGGCAGTTATTTGAAAAGATGAACTATAGTAGATACAGTGTAAGCTGGTGTTGTGTTGGTAAGCACCTCTGCCTCACGGTCCCAAGCTCCTGGTTTGATTATAACCCTGGGAGTCTGTCTTTGTGGAGTTTGCATGTTCTGCCCATACTCGCCTGGTTTTGATCCGAGTTCTCCTGATTCCTCCCACTTTCCAAAGACATGCTGGCAAGATTGGATTGACTATTCAAAATTATATCTTTCTCTCTGTGGCCTCTCTCTGAGATTAATTTACATCCTAACCAGGGGGGTGACCTTATGTACACCCAGTCCTCCTTTATATCCAAGGCAAGCAACTTTCTTCATACAGTACATTTAGAAATTCTTAATAGATGCAGAATAACCTAAAATAAATTTTACTAAAAATGAGTTAGTCTGCCAATTAAAACCATTTCCATTTACTAGTGATTGGCAGAAATCATCCATGTTTGATAGTGAAACAGCATGTAAAGTACATTACAAGTTGATGTTTCAAACAAACCATGACAAAATGTAGATATATTCTAAAACACCAAAATACAGCACCAGCTTTGCCAGTTTATCATGGTAATAACAAGGGAGCAGGACAGTTTGTTGGCTGCCAAAATATATACTGTATGAGCATCTAACCTAAGCTTATAAGGTTACATAATTATTAATATTGTAAAGCTTTATTAATAGTTGTTTACCCTTAATTATTTGTCTTTTACCATTATTTTCTTCACTATAGTGAAAAACTATTTTCAATTGTTTAACATTGTGCATCCAAACTTCTGTACATTGCAGTATATGTATATAAAGAACTCAAGGGCAAGGCAGGCAAATCATAAACCTCTAGACATTGATTGCTATAATAATATTAATACCGTCCATTCATTTTATATACAGTAGTCTAGGGCAAAGTACATTAGCATAACGGTGATGTTGAACAGTGATATAGTCGCTTCCTGTGACTTTTTGACTCGAGAATAAGACTCTCATGGATCAGTAGTCTCTTTTATTTTATTCACACTCATTGTTTTTGTAAATCAGAAGCCTCATGCACTCACTGTGTTTGCTTTTATCATTGTAGAATCTAAAACCTGTGATTTTATGTTTATGTTTATGTTATGTTACTGTATGTATATTTCAATCCAAAAAGACAGGCATGATGATAAACACTGATACATAAAGTTTGTTTAGCTACTGACCACATGCACAAGTATCTGCATCACGTAGCATCAGAAACACAACAGAATTTTTAAAAAGAACAACTTACCTTTTATAAAGTATTTACAACGTGGGTGTCCTGAGCCCAAAACAAAGAGGAACCCTTGGTACAGCTTCGTTATCTCAGCCGAAGATAGATTTTATCAATTTTCTGTAAAATTAGGAAGGCTCACAGGCCCAAAATACAGACAGATCCCCCGGAACTCATTGATACACAAAACGTTTGAGAAAAAAGCAAGCTTACACTGATAACTAATGGCGAAAGGTCAGCTTTTAAAGCTTCTTTCACATACACAATAAAACAAACGCATGGTTCTTAGTAAAAAGAAATTGCAGTGAGGCATTTCCTCTTTCACCACTGTGGTTTTACATGGAAGCTGCCTGGGTGATTTTAGAAAATGACTCAGTAGCTGTGATGTGTTACATTGTGGTTTAAGCCTGTGAACTAAAGGTATGATAATACCTCAGATAGCGTAGAAGCAGCAGCTCGCACAGAAAATGACTGGGTCCGATCATGTGTTCTCCCAACGTACTTGAGATGTTTAAACAGCCCTTACACTGGGTTTTATGGTGTTGTGTGTGGGGTTGTGACAAGTGCAGCTCTGTCACTGTGAAGATTCGAACATGGACATCAGCAGCCTCAGTAGACACAGCCCTACTGCCCCACAACTCCCAGCAATCACTGAGTGGAGGTACTGTACAATACCAAGAGTTGTGATCTCATCCTGCTGTGAAGGTCAATATGTTCACATGCCAGCGTTGCTACAGGCCACAAAAAAAACAAACCAGGCAAAGCTCTTCCATGAGGAGAAAAACAAGAACCATTTACCTTTTGTGCAGCCATCGTTCTTAGCTTGTTAAAACAGATCTATCTCATTTCAGATGTGTGAAAAGGGTAGGTGGAAAAAGGTTTTAGAGTATTTTGATGCATTACAGGGACAGCATACCGTTTGTCTTTACTACTGTACCTTCACTTGAAAATTTTATTTTTCTGGCTAAAAAATGAGGCTAAACCAGGGTCAAAGGACTCCACAGCAACCCTAGAACAGGCAAAGTAATGTGCCTGGGGCCAGGAGAATAAGCAGAGAAAAGTCAAACGAGTTTATACTGCTATAAACTAAACTTTGCTATTTGTAGTGCAGACTTAGAGCTTTGTGGTTATTAAAAAGTTCATTGCACAAAAAAAGTCACCATATTAATGACCTATAATATGTATGCAAAGGAACAAGTAATAGGTTTATTCCATGCTGAAAAGAGAAGAAAGAAAACACAACGTTTCGGCCGTGGAGCCTTCTTCAGGTGTAAAGAAAGCCGAGAAGGCTCCACAGCTGAAACAGCTGATTGTGTTTTCTTTCTTCTCTTTTCAGCAGGGAATAAACCTATTACTTGTTTCTTTGCAGCCTACGCATGCTGACGCAGCTCCCCACCTGAACTATAATATGTATTATTCTTACAATTATTATAAGGGCAAGCTAATATATAAAATGAACAGTGCTTGCATGTAATCGCACCTCATTATGTGAAATTCTAAAGTGTTAGGTGAGTGCTCGACTTAGTGCTCGACTTCCTCACAGTAGGTGTGAGTACAGTAGTTCAAAAATGGCTTCCCTATATAAGAAGCCATCAGGCTTTTGTTTCTTGATGGTGTCAGCCTCCATGGCATTCACTGGAGAATGACTGGGCAGTATGTTTACTGTATGAGTTACATGAACGGTTGTACTGTAAAAAGAACAGATAAGAGTTGGCCATGAACACCAGCCTCGGCTGTAGCAGCACAGTATAATTTGTCATGGAATGACAGACTGATGCACAAGGACAGGACGGATACTGTAAGTGTTGGTAGAGGTCAACTGCAACAGCAATATCACTTGATAGTTCAAACTCTAATCCAGAAAAATCTGGGTTTCTACGAAGTGTGGATTTCAATGTGAACTGTGAAACACTTACAAGTGCAAAATATAGCTCAATTCTAGGAGCAACAGTAATGCAGTAAGGTCAGCAACATACTGTATACATAGTAGGAGTATGGAACATGTACTCACGGTTTCTGAACCAGATCAATAAGCTACTAACTGCAATACAAGCTTGATGTGTCAAATAACCTCTGCTCTGTTTGTCTTATACATCATCAAATCGTCACCACCACGTCCGATTCGATGTGTCCTCAAGGCAGGAAAAGGAAAACCAGAGAAAGGATATCATGGAGCTGGATTACACATCAAGAATGACATCAGCTACTGTACCACCTTTGGGAGTGCTTCATGACTCTTCATCTCAAAGTAGCAGGTAATGAATATGTCTAAATCAGTGCAATCCAATCTTGGTCTTGGAGGGCTGGTATGTCAGTGGGTTTTTATTTCAACATAGCTCTCACCAAGCTAAACCATCTGGTTAACAGCTTAACTGGACAGTGACAAAATAATGTGCATACCATCATCCCATTACCTCTCTTGAGGTTGTTCAATGGTCATGTTTCGTCTTACCAATGTGGATCCACAGTCTGTCTTTGTGTACTGTGCCTCCATTTTGTATCAGGTTACAGAACTGGGCCTTCCCTTGGCTTAAATGGAGGTTGCTTATCAATCAAGGGGAGCTGGGGGTGGGGCCTGGGGTATTTAACCCAGTACTGATGGCAGGGAGGTAGTCTTGTCTGTGTCAGGTGTGTTATGTTGTGGACACCCCACCTTTTTTTTTGTTTTGTAAGTTAAAAGAAGATAATTATTTTCTTTTATTCTTTTTTTCATTTCTTTAGTTGGACACCCTAAAAATGTGTCTATTTTTTTTGGTGTAGAGCTGGTTGTTTTTCCTATGACCTTTTGGCCATCCCTGATTTACTTGCCAGGTGTTTGGTTTCACATGAATGACTTGACCAGCTTGTCTTAGCTCTTCAGGTGCTGCTAGAAATTTGTAGACACACCGCCCCCACAAGACCAGAATTAGATACCCTGGCCTAATTTCCATACATTTCTCTGCATTGATTCAGACAGTCATTGTTTATATGTCTGCATTGTTTACATTCAAACTGTTTACTTGTTTACTTGTACGTTATCTACTGTTTGTTTGTATATTGTCTTGATGCGCTGTCGGCACTTTGTGTTTTTACACTTTTTTTTCTACAGAGATTTTCTGTAGGTAAGAATTCCATTGTACCAGTACATGTACCGGTTAAATATGGCAATAAAGTTCAATTTCAGGATCACATGAACAACAGGAGTTCAGCTGTCACACTTTAGAGTTTGCAGCCCAAATACTAAAGGACAAGTCCCTTTGAGACCCAAGGAAGGAGGACACCTGATTAAGGAAAACAATGCAAATGGAGCAATTGGACGAACTATGCAATCAGGAATCCAAAATAAAAAAAAGTCAAAATAAATTCCGAATAAAACACAGGTTTGAAACTCTTCCAGATGATAGGAGTACTGAAGCAATGATCAGTTGCTATCATCTCCGTTGTCAGACTCCAGGATCCCAAAGAAGCACCCAGTTTAGTCAAGGGACACACACAAGGGGACAACAGACAAAACTTTTCAAAGACTCAGGAAAAGCAAACACAAAGAAAGAGAAAACCAATAACTCGTGGGAGATTATGTCCCTTGAACAGATTGGATGGAGGAGAAATATCTGAAACCCTGAGCCCAATTTTTTGGGATCCAATGGCACCACAGCAAGGAAGCAGAGAAAGAGACCAAGAGAGCTCACATCCACCGGGTTGTGCAGTAAACAACATGAGGCTTTTCAAGGTTTGACAAGTTGACAAGGTTATGTGACCTTGAGGTCACATAAGACAATCTTCGTGGACCATGAGGGATAACCAAAGAATGATATTAGTAAAAAAGCAACAGTTGTCATCGGGATATGCATGTCTGGGTTTTGAATAGTGAATTAACCAAACAGGCATTACAAATCACGAGAGAACCCTATTGCTTGTTACCTATCACATTTTCTTATTAGACAGATTACTCTTAATTACAGTGTCTTGTGTAATGTTACTCTCTGCTTCTGAGACTGCCGTCTTAATGTCATGTTCCTCTTATTACCAGTTCCACTAGCAATATTTTCCTTTAACTTCAAAACAGTTCCCATGGGGACAATTGCTGATTGTGAGAATGTGCGAGGCGATTCTGTGGTATTGTGCGTAATAGTGCTGAATCACACATGAACAAAGTGAAAAAGAGGAAATTACACTACAATTGCTGCAAAAAAGATAAGAAACTGCCCAGTTTGTTTAGGGTTAAATGTAGCCCACAGACTCCACTGCTCCCCAACACTGGAATGATAGCTGTGTCCCTCAGTACAAGAAATGCATTTCTGACACATCAATTCACTCTATTACTATAAAACTAAAAAAATAATATTGGGATTAAAGAGAAAATAAAATATCTCATTCCATCACACCAACATTCTGACCCAATCTGGAAATACTGGCTCTACTATCTACCTATTTCCAGGTGTTCCTTGGTCCTGGTAATGTAAAGATTTTGTTTTTCTCAGAAGCTGTTACTTTCAGTTTAATATGTTAATCTGAGCTGATATGTGCTGTACACATGCACCTCTAGCGTATTTAAATACATGGACTAAAAAATTATCTTTTTGTGTGGTGTATGAAATTTGGTGTGGAAGCAATGTTGAAATGTAAGGTATAATTTACGTATCAACAATGCACTGAACCAAGGCGACAGACTTGATTGTAGCTCAGTTCAGGTAGGACAGAAAAGGCAAGATTGCCTTGGTTGAGTAGTGCGTACTGAAGGATAAAAGACGACTGCAACTTTATCTGGCACATACTGTAAGTCATTGATTAAAGAGCAAACTGTTTTCTCAGAGGGATGATGTCACCAGCACGTGGCTATCAACTATAGTACTGTATATGAGCTATACTATTCACAGAAGATACCATCCAACACCTGTTCCTTTGGGTTAGCATCTGTAAACAAGTCTTTTGACATCTAATGAAAATGTCACTGCATGGCCTTTTAGCACTGCAAAGCCCTTCATGACTGACATTTTAATTATTCTTTTCTCAGAATTATTTTTCATGCCAGGTTTTCAAAACCAGCGCTGGAATGCCACTACCCGGAGCAACTGATGCTGGAAGGATTTCAACACTGAATTTTAAAAAAGGATTTCCTACATATGGCCTGTGTGTCACAATATTTCCAGCCCTTACATCACCATCAGTGCATCAGTAGATGTCATAGAATATTTCAGTGTTTTGTCAAATTGTTTTTATTCATTACAGAAATATACAATGCACAATGTCTAGCTAGAGAACTGAGATTAATGGCGCAAAAAGCAAAAGTATGATTTACTTAAAGGTAAAAAGACAAAATATACATGAAATAATTTAATCAAACAATGTATGCCCATGATAATACTACCCTTTAAATTACTGACC